TTTCAGCTCGAGTTTCTAACGTTGTTGATGGAATTTCCGTTTCTGACGAAAAAGATGTACTAGAGATAATGTTGGGCGTAGAACTTTCTTGACTATTCGAATCGATCGATACTTGTGTGGTTTCAACATTAGAATTTGCAGTAGTACTCTCATTTTGTTCAATTGTTTCAGCTCGAGTTTCTAACGTTGTTGATGGAATTTCCGTTTCTGACGGAAAAGATGTACTAGAAATAATATTGGGTGTAGAACTTTCTTGACTAATTGATTCGATCGATACTGCTTCGATTTCAGCGTTAGAATTTACAGTAGTGCTCTCATTTTGTTCGGTTGTTTGAGATTGAGTTTGTTGAGTTGTCTGGAAAGTGGACGTTTCTATGATAGGCGGACTAGTCAGGAACGTACTACTCGTAAAATTGTGAACTTTTACGTCTGTTCCTTCGTGAATTATAATAATATAAGTATACGGACTCTGTTGATTTTTATTTATTTCTTGTTCTTGCATTTGATCCTTCATGGCTGATATATCTGTATAGTAACATTAAGAATTATTTATCATATTGGTCACTTAAAATTAAATAGACTATTTGAAAAATCTTTAGTAATATGTTACTTTTCGTAAGATTTTTACTTAAATAATAGTTTCAATTAGATGATTCTGATCTCACCATTGGATAATTTCTTCAAAAGCGAAATCATTTCTTTCTGTGATTCCTCCAATCCTCCAAGCCTCTCATTTATATCAGGTATTTTCTCTGCATCACTGTCATCATCGTCCTCCTTATCATCGTCCTTGAAAATATCACCGATAGATGAAAGATCAGGAATGTTCCAAGAATTTGTAAAAGATGACCATAGTCTTGGACGTTGCTCTAAGAACTGTACATCTCTCGTAATTCTATCCACTTTTTCTTCATTATTTACAGGAGTACCTGAATAAAGAAAAAAATATCATTAGAGCTCGTATCATTTTCACCAAAATATTTCACAAAAATCAATAACATATGTAATCAAAACTTAGAGTTGGTTTATTAAATGATATTGCATTTGAATGAGTCACGAACAGTATATATATATATATATATGCATTTTTCAATTCCTCATATTAAATTTCGCTTACGTCAAATTTGTCGTTATTCATATTTATGAAAGAAAATAATGTAATGAAATAAATTTAACGTTTCCTTAAATGTAAGACTTACATTTGATACCGTGCAAGAGTTGTAGGGCTGCCAGAATTAAAAATGCGATAGTCGACATGTTTATTATTATTATTATTATGTACTTTCTTTTCTTTTTCCTTTTCCTTTGAAGCTTTTCACGCGACGAATTTTCGAGCAATACTGAAGAATTGAAAATTGTCCTTTTGCTTTATATACGTTTCGAAAAAGCTAACATTAAAAGCGAAGAAAAAGCATTAACAACCTAATGAGTGTAACATTCCATTGGTATTTGTATTTTCCTGCCTTGTTTATCAAAGTTTCCTAAGAGGGTTTAAGATAAACGCGTGGAATTGTTTCCTTATTTTATAGCACTTAAAGTGTGCTTAACAAAAGAAGCTCTTTTTATATTTCATTTGACAAGACAAGAATTTGGTAATCTCACGCGTGGAATTTCTATTTTGAAAGATGAATCACGAAATTCTCTTTTCGATTATAATATGTTTATGAATTCTTAAGAATAAAACAATCTTGAAAGAATTAGAAATATTGTGCATCGAATTTATTAATACTTTCATTTCTTCGGGAATACTTTTGCTTACCTTGATAATGAAATTTATCAATCGATGTATCAAGGAAAATAGATATAAAAAAGAAAGAACCGAATGAAAGAAATCGTTGTTCATGGTAATGAATTATTACGTACGAGGTAAACTACTTTCGCCAATGTGGGTATTTCCCAGTATTATAATGATCAATAGCGTCAGCCACGTTTCTATCAAAAACTAATAACTAACGACGACGCCGTTGTTGGATCTTCGATGATTCTTCGTACGTTTTACAAATGGAAATATTTCTAGATTTTAGAAATAAAAATATTTTCCAGATTTTTCGATTAAATCGAGGATGTTCAATTGACGCTCGACAACAAATTCGAACGTTCTAATCTAAACAAAACAATTCCTGATATGTAATATTATTTCACGTGCATTCGACATCTGTACACACACGGATAGATAAATATTGCAAGGATATCATTTACTTACGATGAATCGTACGCAGATAATTTCTTTCACGGCTTTCTCTTGCTGCAACATTTTCAGACCGATCAGAATATTATCACTCTTGTCTTATTTTTTCTTTGAATAATGACCCACCCAAATGACTAATATTTTAATGTTCATTATTTTCATGATTTAATGCTCTGATAATTTTGGATAAACCTTTATACATATGTAATTATATATATATATATATCTTTCCAGTCAGACAATTATTTTATTCTACTTTCAGGAAGTAATTTATTTCATTATTTGCCTTCTTTATACCTTTGTCGCATAGAAAATGTGTACTACAAACTTAAAATCTCAATACAAATTTTCAAATGTATTTTAAATGTATTTTAAATGTATTTTTAAATTTACTTTTATAACATTGTTCGAAACGATAAAACCGAAAAAGATTCATTCATCGGTGAGTCTCCTGTGTGATATTTCAAACACTTAAATAACAACTTGACGTGATTTTCTTTGTCTTCATCCTATGATAACATTCCAACAATTAACTGCATAATATTCTTCGAATTGGAAACGTTGGCAGGTAGTAATTTGATAGGTGCTACCCATTAATCGATGAACCATAGATATTAAATTGAATTATTATTTAATTCTTTCTCTTGGCTATGTACTTTACCTACGTATGTTCGAGGGGTGCGAGAAACGTTATTTTTCGATTCTCAACGATCGATTATCAACGCGTAACAGGATATGCCAGACCGGTCACGATCCGGTTGCTTATAAATAATTACTCGTTTCTACTTTTGAAAATGAGAAAATCGTCTTATCTCTCTTTACGGTGTTTTTATTTATTTCCATATTTTTCTTCTCCTCTTAATAACAATAATAATAAGAATAAGAAGAAGAAGAAGAATAATAATAATATATTTTTTTGAATAAGACACAAAACAAAAATCATAGTTGAAATAATTTAATTGGATTATTTGAATAACTAGAAAGAACTTTGACCATCGATTAACTTGGCCACACATTATCGTTCAGGGTTATCGACTATTTTGCTCAAACGATTAAAAAATTTGTCTACAAGGTTCGTCGGACGTACAAAAATGAATGGAGATTTTGGTCGATTACGATACTCGGTGGTATAGACCAAACAAGATCATTGTCAAGGTTT